TGAGGAGGAGCAGGAAGCCAAGGGGGAGCTGCAGCGCGCCCTGTCCAAGGCCAACAGCGAAGTGGCCCAGTGGAGAACCAAATACGAGACGGACGCGATTCAGCGCACGGAGGAGCTCGAGGAGGCCAAGTACGTGGGGAGTGGGATGAGCTGTCCGGATGTTACATATCTTGTGCAGGACATAGATCTACTTTTAGTAGCCCAACCTGAATTATTTTAGTGGGATTTGCAATACTCTTAGTTAAAATGACATACATACTGCAATGATTTCTTTCAGTCATATGCATGTTTTATTTATATTCCTTAAGGAAAAAACTTGCTCAGCGTCTCCAGAAAGCAGGAGAACAGGCAGGGACTGTGAATTCCAAGTGTGCCTCCTTGGAGAAGATGAATTTGAAGTTGCAAGGGGAGGTGGAGGATCTGACGCTGGACGTAGAGAGAGCAAACACATCAGCAGCTGCCCTGGACAGGAAACAGCAGAACTTTGATAAGGTGATAAGTGAGCACAGTATCTTTTAAGTGTAGCCCCAGATAAAACAATATTTTCAGTACTAGCAGGAAAAAAACATAATAGCCTCTCCTATTAGGAAAGGCTGAGAGAATTGGGATTGTTCACCCTGGAAGAGAAGGCTTCAGGGTGACCTAACTGGAGCCTTCCAGTACCTGAAGGGAGCTGACAGGAAAGATGGAGAGAGACTATTTACAACGGCCCGGAGTGACAGGACAAGGGGCAATGGCTTCAAACTGACAGAGGGGAGGGTTAGGTGGCTAACTGGGAAAAAAATTCTTCCCTATGAGGGCACTGATACAGGTTTCCCAGAGAAGTTGTGGCTGCTCCATCCCTGGAAGTGTTGAAGGCCAGCTTGGATGAAGCTCTGAGCAACCTGGTCTAGGGGAAGGTGTCCCTGCCCATGGCAGGGGAGTTGGAACTAGATATCTTTGAGGTCTCTTCCAACCCAAGCCATTCTGCGATCCTATGATGTCTTTCAGGTCATGGCAGAATGGAAGGGGAAGTATGAGGAAAGCCAGCTGGAGCGGGAAGCTCTCTCTAAAGAATCGTGCTCGCTGGACACGGAGCTTTTCAAAGTGAAAAATGCCTACAAGGAAAACTTAGATCAGCTTGAAACAATCAAACGGGAGAACCACACTCTCAAGCGTATGTGTTTGGCTCTGGTTTCCCTTTTGCTGCTGGAACAGGCTCCCCAGGGCAGTGGGCACAGCACCAAGGCTGCCAGAGCTCAAGGAGGGTTTGGCTGATCCTCTGGGGCACAGGGGGTGACTCTTGGGGATGGGCCTGTGCAAGGCTAAGGGTTGGACTCAATGATCCTTGGGGGTCCCTTCCAACTCAGCACATTCTGTGATTCTGTGATTAGCTGCTCACAATCTTACCACAACAAGGCAGACACTCATGTCTGCAGGACGTGCACTGAGTGACAGGACTCTGTCATTACTGTGCTCTCCATCTTAATGGAGAGTGTCAATGTCTCACCAAAAGTTGTCAAGCAGGTTTGTAAAGTGAAAAAGCTAATAAAGCAAATGTCCTGGCTCTGTAGTATCTGCTGCAGAGACATCAAGGTGCCATTCCCAGGTGAAGGTGATGACCTCAGGAGGCTGTAACAGCTTGTGAAACTGAGATTTACAGATGTACTGAACGCAATGACAGGACCTGTAGGACACTGATGGCCTATCTAGAGACATAACACATGCAGGGCTCTTCCAGGCTCCCTATAAAGAGGGCTGTGAAACCACACTAATGCCCCACTTGTCCTGCATGACTTGGCTGTGTCTGTTTTTATCTGTACATATTTGCAGACACATATACGACTGTGTACACATGTATGTATGTGTATAAATATTTATACATGCAAAAGAGGTGCTGAACGCTGCCACAGAGCATAGAGTTCAGCTCCTCTGGTTGATGTCATTCTCTCACAGAGGAAGTAGCTGATCTGACAGAGCAAATTACTGCAAATGGCAAAATGATCAGAGACCTTGAGAAAGCAAAAAAGCAAGTTGAAGTAGAAAAAAATGGGCTGCGATTAGCTCTGGAGGAGGCAGAGGTGAGTTAGTTTAAATATTACTGGAAAAAGTATAGAGCATGCTAAGCAGCTTTTTGTTCCTTTCCTGGCACCGCCTGTGTGCAATATTGATTGCCACAAACTTTTGGATTTTCTGTGAAGTCACTGATCATGTTCTCTGAAATGTTACCTTCATCTTTGTTTTTATCCTTTTTCTTTTAAAGGCAGCTCTTGAGCATGAAGAGGTCAAAATCCTTGCTGTCAACCAAGAACTGACTCAGATTAAGACAGAGATCAACAGAAAGATTGCTGACAAGGATGAGGAGATCAACCAGTTAAAAAAGAACCATGAAAGGACTGTGGAGACAATGCAGGGTGTTCTGGATGCTGAGATTAGGAGCAGAAGTGAATCTTTAAGGCTGAGGAAGAAGATGGAGGGAGACCTGAATGAAATGGAGATCCAGCTCAGCCATGCCAACCGCCAGGCTGCAGAGGCACAGAAACACCTGCACAGCATCCAGGGAGCTCTCAAGGTCTTTGTTTACCTTGTGATTGATTTATTTTTAAGCACAGTATTCGAGAAGTTCGTTAGGACAAAACTGACTCTTCAAATTTAGGACACCCAGATCCATTTGGACGACGCTCTCAGGACCCAGGATGACCTGAAGGAGCAGGTGGCCATGGTGGAGCGCAGAGCAAACCTGCTGCAGGCTGAAGTTGAGGAGCTACGGGCAGCCCTGGAGCAGACGGAGCGGTCGAGGAAAGTGGCTGAGCAGGAGCTCCTGGATGCAAGTGAACATGTGCAGCTCCTCCATACCCAGGTAGTTTCCTTTGCTAAGACTGACATATTTTGGGGTCCAGAGGTTCATGGAGTAAGAATGAATAGTAATTCGTGGTCTGTGTGTGTAAGAGACCAAAAACAGACACTCAAAGCCTCTCTCTTTCTTCTTTGTAGAACACCAGCCTTTCTAATACAAAGAAGAAGCTTGAAACTGATATGGCACAAATCCAAAGAGAGATAGAGGATGTTACTAATGAATCAAAAAGTGCTGAAGAAAGAGCAAAGAAGGCAATGACAGATGTGAGGATGTTACTGTGTTTTTCCCTTTGAATTTTCAGGGTTTCCAGAAGCATTGCTGCTAGGGGTTAATGTAAATACTCCTGTCACGTGTTGTACAAGAACCAGTCTGTGGGCATGGTTGAAAAGGCTACCTGTCAGAAGAGGATTAGAACAACAGGAACCATGTCCTGCTGAGAGATGAGTTATTGGGGCTGTTGCCTTCATTTATGGACTAAACCCACATTTGGTTGGTCGTAAACAAATAACTTTCTTCAGTGCTGCAAGAAAATTTAATCCACAAAGAAATCCTGCAGTATTGAAACCACTACAGTGGCTAATGTATTTGAATAGTTGTCTTTGCAAAATCCTATTTAACAACTTTTTAAATCAGAATTGTAAATGTCCATTCAAAATTGGTGCTAAATCCTCCCATACAAGGCCTGTGAAGCTCAGCCAGGCCATAGGGCTGGTATGTCATGGAACTCAACCTGTTAATCATTTTTGATGCAGAGGAGCAAACCAAAGTCTTAACACTTAAATACATTATTTGGAGTTAAAATAGAAAGAAAACTTTTCCAGTTGCTCATGAAAATGAAAAAAAAAAAAACTAAATAAAATCACAGAATCATTAGGCTTGGAAAGGATCTCTGGAGATCATCCAGTCCGACTCCCATGCCCAGGCAGGGTCGCCTGGAGCAGGTGACACAGGAATGCATCCATGTGGGTTTGGAATATCTCCAGAGAGGGAGACTCCATACCTTCCCTGGGCAGCTGTTCCAGTGCTCTCCATCCTTCATGGAAAGAAGTTCTTCCTCATTTTGATGTGGAACTTCTTATTTTAAAATAACTTCTATTCTGTTTGAATAAAAGAGAAATAGAACATTACAATAAATTATACACACACACATACACACATATATATAAAATATCTAGTGCCATTATTTTATTCTCACATTTTTCAATATGCACTTTTCAGATATTTTGCTGCCAAAGCAACTTCTTGAATTTTACATTTTTTGTAAGTGACGTCACTCAATATTTCACCGAAATCTTCGTTTTATTGTGTAGGAGTCCAATGTTTGAGAGCAAACTAATGTCTTAAATAGCATAGATTCTTTTAAACTACTTTATGCCTTGTGGCAGTAGCCCTTCAGGCTGTTGTTGCAAATAGCAGGGCACTCACTACAGCACAGCACCCACCACACTCCAGGTGTTGAGCACAGGAGCCTGTTCCCAGGCTCTGCTGTGGCTCTGGCTGTGCCCTGTGTGCAGGAGAAGGAATCAGACACTTTCCTCATTTCTGTTGGCATTTAGAGGAATATTTTGCTTAAATGACTCCAGGTTTGCTCTGCTAATCCCATCTGAGATATCAGTGAGTCCCTGCCCTGTGGACCTCTTTTCTGTGCACTTGGGAAATCCCAAACTGCTGTGTCAGGAGATGCCTCCTGGCTTGGTGGCAAAGGGCTTTCCTTGACCTTCCCTACGGACATCTGGACAGGAATTCCTAACTCCCAGTGCTGTTTCTTGCTTTCAGGAGGATTCACTTGTAGCCTCTTTTGTCTTCAGAATTAAAGAACCCGGTATTCTCCTGCTAAGGTGAAGAGAATTGGTTGCTTCCTCCAAAGTAATTGAACCTCAAAATGGAAAAAGCCACCCCTCAGGTCCTCTGGTTCCTGTTCTTCCCAATCCATGAAGCTGAGTCAGAGGAGGGCTAGGTTGAATCTCAGGAAAAGGTTCTTCCTCCAGAGGGTGGTTGGACACTGACCAGGCTCCCCAGGGCAGTGGGGACAGCCCCAAGGCTGCCAGAGCTCAAGGAGTGTTTGGACAGCTCTCTCAGGGACGTGGTGGGATTGCTGGGGTATCTGGAGGGCCAGCAGTTGGACTGGATGATCCTTGTGCATCCCTTCCAATTTGGAATATTCTGTGATTCTATGATTCTGTGGCACCTTGCTGGCAGTGGAGGTCACAGTGTGACCATACGGTGGGACAGAGCATTTACCCTTTCTGTCATTCCAGCTCTGCGTGTGCAGCAAGACAGTCTTGTCCCATCCTTTTTCCTACTATTTCCTGTCATGTTTCTGCCACTATCATGTCATGCAAAAAAAATGAAGCAGGAAATGGAGTGGCAGGAATGGTCATCAGGAAACAGGAGTAAATGCTCCACTGATACACAGCATGCACTGTTCCTTCCCATTCCTCTGGTTTCTTGTGTCATCTTCCTCCCAAGGTGGCCGTGATGGCAGAAAAGCTGAAGAAGGAGCAGGACACCAGTGCCCACCTGGAGAGGATGAAGAGGAACCTGGACCAGACGGTGAAGGACCTGCAGCACCGTGTGGATGAGGCCGAGCAGTTGGCCCTGAAGGGAGGCAAGAAGCAAATCCAGAAGCTGGAGGCCAGGGTGAGTACCACAGCTGAACATGGGAGTCAGAGACACCTTTCTTCTCCAAGTCCTATGTGAGTCTTGCTTAAGGTAATTGTTGATTAATTCACCAGATCCAAGAATTAGAAGCTGAGCTGGAAGAAGAACATAAACAATCTGCAGAGGCTACGAAAAACATCTGCAAATATGAGCGGCATGTCAAAGAGCTCACTCTCCAGGTGGGTAAAAATAGAAAGCAATTCTCCTGATGTCTTATCTCCCAAGGACATGTAATTGCATATTCTCTTTACTCAGAATGAAGAACACAGGAAGAACATGATGATGTTACAAGATCTGGTAGATAAATTGCAGATGAAAATCAAATCCTACAAAAGACAAGCTGAGGAAGCTGTGAGTCACTAAACTGAAGCAAATACTTATTTACCAGTTCATAGTACCGTCAGTTTAAAAGCTGGCTCTGTGCCTCAGCATGTTGCCAGATGGTTTTTAATTTCTTTTTTGTTTTGCAATTTCAGGATGAACAGGCCAATATTAATCTCTCCAAACTGAGAAAAGCACAACATAAGATAGATGAGGCTGAGGAAAGGGTAGCTATTGCTGAGAGCCAAGTAAACAAGCTCAGAGCCAAAGCCCGAGAAGGCCCTGCTACAAAGGTAAGACTTCACAGCAGGAGACAGGTGTATAGTTGTGCTGTTTGCTCAAGCAAGTTGAGCAGCAGGTTTGTGCCTTGCCAGTGGGTACAGCCATCGTTCAAAAGGACAGCTCTGGAAGGGAGGGACTTTTGAAGAAAAGCTGAGAGGGTTGGGGTTGTTCCGCCTGGAGAAGACACAGCTCTGAGGAGACCTTATTCTGGCCTTTCAGTATATAAAAGGGACTTATAAGAAAGACAGTGAAAAGGAGAGCTTTTAGTGGTAGGGCATGGGATGATGGTTTTAAACTGAAATAGGGTATGTTTAATTAAATAAATTGAACATAAGGAAGAAATATTTCATCATGAGAGTGGTGAGACCCTGGCACAGGTTACCCAGAGATGTTGTGGATCCCCATCACTGGAAATGTTCAGGCTCAGGTTGGATGGTGCTCTGAGCAACCTGGTCTTTCACTGGAAAGATGTTCCTGGCCATGTCAGGAGTTTTGGATCAGATGATCTTTGAAGGTGCCTTCCAGCTCACAACATTCTGTGAACTATGATTCTCTGCCTCTGGCATTTCAGGCTCTGGTGCTGAGCATTGCTTTGTGGCTGATTTCATCAGATTAGTTTCAGATTTAAGGAGCTGCTTCATTAAGTGAAAATAATGTCAGTCAACCTAACTCTGAACGTTCCTAAAGCATCCCTTCTGTGAGCCTTAGGCAGAATTAGCATTCTGACTGAGAAAAGAGCAGCAGCTCTGTGTCTTTAGCTGAACTTCCCAGGCAGTTGTCTGTCTCTAACCCAAGACTGGCACAAGATCTGGAGCTACCTTTCCTAGTGTGATCTTTTGACTGCACTAGTTTAGCATAGTTTGTGGCTGGAGGTAAAAAACCCCAGTGCATGTCTTGGAAAAACTACTAGGGCCTGGAGCACATATCCAGGAAATGGAGAACCTCAGCTCCAGACTGCTTTCTGCAGCATTTTCACTCTGGAAGAGATGTTTTCTCCTGAAGGATCTGGCCTGGGACTCAACAGACACTTTTGGTTCTGCCAGCTTTCACTGTCACCTAATGCTCTGCAGTAGGAGAAGGCTTTGACTCCTCAGTGCTTGCCAGGATATCTTGCCAAGAAGCAGGGGACACACTAGGAAGGTTCAGTCTAGGTTCTTCCAGGTGTCTCTAGACATGAGACTACTTTATAAAGGGAATGTTCAATCTCTAATTGAATTGGAAGCCTAGACAGTGGCAAGATTTCAGGTATCTCCTATTGGATATGCTTAGGTAAAGACAGATTGAGCAGACTGACTATGGGCCACTCTCTGCAATGTGCTACAGGTTTAGATCCTCCTTTGAGTTACCTGATACTGTGCAGTATATACTGAGCATAAGTTCGTGGCACAAGTTCTGGTAGGCCTAAAAATTAATCATTGTGATGCCTAAATCTTGTAAGCCCTTCCATGCTATAGACTCACTTTTGGAAATGCCAGTGTACTCCTTATCCCAGAGGGTGGGGGTTGTTTAAGCAATGCAGCATGAAAGTAGCGCTTCAGGAAAGCCAACAGATGTGTTTGTGCATTTGAACCCATCAGTCCAATAGCATGACGTGTGGTGATGTGTTACAGATACCACTGCCTTGGTCTGGTTTCCACTTGCACATCCTACCTGGATGGTGCATTGGGATGGATGATTTCAGGGATCAAAAGACTCTGGATACGTGTAGACTGAACAAAGCCTCTCCTTTCCAGGTGGTGTTAGGAACTGAAAAATGAGCTTCCTCTGGGATAACCAGAACTTCCACAAAGTATCTTTCCAGCTGTGGATTTGCAGTAGCTAGAGCTACACTCGTAGGAAGTAATCTTCTATTTGTTTGTGAACACAAACATTTTCTGCCACTGCTGCTGTACCAGTGTCAATAAAATAGATACCTGCAACTTCAGATGCTCCAAATGAGGATGTTCAAATGAGAGTCATTTTGTTGCTAAGCTTAGCATAGTCAAAACTGTGTGTTCAAGTCTTACTGCTGCCATGATCAGTTTGACCAATTTTATCCTGAATTTAAAACCTAGATGTTTGACAGGTTTCCTCCTCACCTTCTGTTTGGAAGCAAGTATCCTGACCTTGTTAAATGAAGCTGAAAATAAAGTACTGTACAAACAGATGTGGTATATCAAACATGCAATGTGAACAAAATTACAGTGCTTGTGCTTAGTTACACTGCTGTACTTCTGCATGGGAGAACGAGACTGGTGCAGCCTGTGAGCCCACAGCCATCTGTGTGCATTGCAAACTGAGTGCTTAGAATCTCCGTATAGTCAAACCACCTGTCAGAAAGTTGGCCCAATACCTACCAAGTGTTGCAGCTCCAAGCAGAGCAGGACTTGAACTTAGGTGTCTTATGTGCTTGTTCCCATGGAAATGGTTATCAAATGCTCTGCAGTACCAGCAGCAAAGTCTGAGTAGCTGCCTGAAGCTCATCTCCCCAGTGGCACTGGGCACCATAATTCTGCTTGGTGTTTCCCAAGGACAAAGATGCATTCAGCTACTTTGTGGTGAATGTATGGTATAGTTGAAACTGCAGGATTTCAGGTAGGGAGAAAACCCAGCAGACTGCTGAGAAGACATCCCTGGAAGGGCTGGAGAGTGAACGGGATACCTTTGGGCAGACATTCCAGTGCTCTGAGAAGTTGAATTAATTTGTGCATAGCACCAGGCACTGTGTCAAATACGATGCTGACACTGTTGGGAAGTTCTAGGTGAGTGCTTCACATCTGTGTGCCTAGGAAAGGTATATCAAAATGGGTCTCCTTACCTATCTCGAGGACACAGCCAGGCAGTGCTCAGGAAGGAGTCTGGCCTGCTTCTGCTGACAAGTAACAAGGATGGGAGAGGAGAAACCCAAGATGTTCTGTCACTCCTGTCTGAAAAAGAGTGATGGATGTCACATCTTTCTCAGTTTTCAACTACAAAAAGGTTAATAAAGGTTAATAAAATCAGCAGACACCTGTCCCTCCCATGACACCTTTGAAGGCTTCACCATGGCTCCCTGTCAGACACATTTTTTTTCATTCCTCTTCACCCAGTGCACTCATGCTCATTGGCAAAGAGCCAGGATGGCCCTATTGTCAGGCTGAGCAGCATTTGGGGTTACTGATTTCCCCTCTTACCTTGTTCTCCAGAGATCTGTGAACTGATGCCCTAGTTACAATTGATTTTTTTACATTTCCTTGAGAGCATTTGATAATGATTATTATGCAATGGCCCAACTTTTCCTATTACTTTCCAGAAAATAACCTAATGAAATACTGAATTGATAAGATGCAAGATCTTCGGTTTGTCTGAGAAATCTGGAACTTTAATAAACCTCATCAGTCAGTCTAGCCATAGTTTCCCCAAAAACTGTCCCCACACCATGATCCTTTCAAGACAGGCCTCCATCCACTGTTATGGGCTTGTGATTTTGGGAAATCAGAATTGAATGTTAGTTTTCACACCCATTGGGATATATCTAGGTGTGTTGCTCTTTTTCTTTCCTGTGGGATGACTTTTGTTTCAGTTCCTGTTGCCTGGAAGCAGCTCTTTCCCAGGGGAATTCCTGCACCTTGTTCTCAGCAGCTCGTGGCACAGTGCTGTGCTTCAAGATGGAATCCCAAGTCCTGCTTTGCTCTTAGGCCATGTCACTGATCCTACTCCACCACGTCAAATGCCTGGTTACCCAGTGCAATAATCTACTTCATAAACCTGTAGAAAAAGAGTTGTAATTTGCTTAGGAGCAGCCATGCAAAACCAATGGGAAATTACTAACTGCTAGGTAAGTCTAGCAACCCTAATGAGACTGGCATTACTCATTTCAGAGTGTCCAGGCATCAGCATGGCATTATCATGTAATCCCAACCCTCTTTCCTGCTTTTGGTACTAAGTTTGCTGTTTTGCTCTTGCCCCAGCTATACCATCCCTGGTCCTCTGAGACCTCCCACACCTGCTCAAGCAGAGTGGGCAGAGCACAGCAGCCTCAGCAATCCCTGCAAGGCTCTGCAGGGATGTGACTTTAGCAGGAGAATTCCTACCCTCACTACACCAGCTCCTTTCTGCTGGCAGTGCAGCTCTCCCCCATTTCATAAAGGGGTTAAAGTGTGGGCTCTGGGTCATGTTGGGGTTGGCTGGATGGCAGTGTCAGAGCCTGGCTCTCCCACCTGCACCTTGAGCCCCCAGGCTGACTATAAACAGAGACCATGGTGCCTGCGTTGGCATAACATGCCATGTGTGCGGGTCTGGCTGGTTTGGAGTTGAGGATCCTGAGAGCAGGACTGCAGATCTGGGCTCAGGGCCTGCTGGCAGCAGTGCAGCTCTGTGGGAAGCCTGTGGTGCGCTTTGAACTGTACCGATGGTGCGTGATAAGAAAATTGGAAGAAATGCCTGGCCACGGGCACAAACCTTCACAGCTCGAGTTACTGTGAGGGAGTTTAGCCAGTGCTGATGGTTCAGAGCAGCACAAGTGTGAACATTCCACTGCTGGAGACTCTCAGAGAAGCACACAACCCATCCCAGAGCCTGCCACAGCAGAGACCAGGTGCTAAGGCCCTGGCTGAGTCTCCACCTGGCAAGGTGCTCTGCAGGAACCTGAACCACATCACATGGCACCAAATGGGGTGAGGGGAAGCCTTTATAACCAGCCTGACCTTTCAGTGAGCAGCCAAGGGGGGACTGTGCACAGCGCCCACAGCCTGTGTTGTACTGTGTTCTGAGAGACACAGGGGGTGCCCAGTGAGCACAGAGGTGCTGGCAAAGCCAGACTGGGGGGTTTGTAGCAGGAGGCAGTTTAACTTTTTAGGCTGCTGGAAAAAATAACTTGCCCATGGATAAGGAATTGTGTCTCTTGTCTGCCAACTGAACCAATGGAGTCTTCATGTGCAGGAGTGCTGGATGTGCTTGGAAATGGCTTAGAAGGCTGGGACCATACCAAGTATCCTTTTTCCAGGAGCTACCATAAAATCAATCCCCAGGGCTGTGGGATTGCATTTAGTGGCAGAACTTTATAAGCTGCCCAACACACAGTCAATCCCCTGACCACTTTTTCCTGCCTGCTAACACTGCTGCTGTGTCTCCAGCTGAATGTGGGGCAAAATGGAGACTGATTTGGCTTGTTGATCCAGATGGAAAACTCTTCAGGGAGAATGGGGATTATTCCCCAAATAGCTTAATGTGCAACTTCTCACAAAACAATGAAAATGAAACAAATAAATGAGACATAAAAAAGTGGAATGAAAGAAATTCATACTAGAAAAAGAAAGAGGATGTTAAAAGGATGGAAATAAGTTGAGGAGGGAATTTGTGATGGCTGGGAAGAGGAAAAGGGGTCTCTCAAACATTCCTGATGCTGAAGAACCACGCAGAGATGGAGAGCTTCAGGTGGAACTAATTAAATATCCTCCTGGCTGCAAAAGATTTGTGTTTCCTCTCTGGTATCTCTCTAACTCTCGTGGATGTGGATGAAAATAAAGCAGGCAGCTGTGTGCCCTAAGCTCAGGGGCAGGTGCACACCCTCCGACAGGGCCTGCCGTAAGCACGATGTGCTGGTGGCACTGAGGGCTGGGCACAGGTGGCCCTGCAGGCCCTTCAAACTCACAGCTCCCTCCACACCCACCTCCCGGGCTCCCAGGTCCCACCAAATCACCCCTCATCCTTCAAAAGAGACATTCCTAGTGGAGGAGACAAGGCTGCAGAGGGCTTTGGAGGTTGCCCATGCCAGGAGGATCAGCCCATCATGTGTCTCCTTTCATCCTCAATGTCAAAGGCCCAAAATAGCCCTGCTCTCCTAAGACTCCTGTTCAGGGTCGTGCCTGTCTGTGGGCATGATTCACTTCCACTAATAGTGCCTGAGACATTCCTGGGAGGGTAGGCTGCCTTCTGTGTCTCAGTGCCATGTGCTGCCGTGGAGGAGCTGGACAACTGTGCTGTGTCCCAAGACAGCAGATGCTATTCTTACCCCAGGGAGACTTGCTCCAGCACAGCTCCATTCCCAGCTGAAAGGTTAAACGTTAGACTGCGGCCCGAGCGTGCTCTCCCTGCTCAGAGTCTGAATCCAGAGTGGCCCCTTTGGAGCCCTGCCAACCCAGTACCTGGGTGCTCTCCCCTATCTCCTGGGACATGCTGTCCCACAGGGAACACAGCAGCTGCCCAGGTACTTCCAGCAGTCAGCTGGGCTCAGTTGTGGTGCATGGGGGCATCCACTCTCTTGTAAACTAACAAATTAACACAAAAGTTCCTGAAAGCCCATCTTTTGCTCTGCTGATCAGCAAGAGGCCCCAGCTTGCTGATCAAGGGAATCCCTTCCCTGGTGAGGAAGGCAGAGGCAGGGCTTGCTCCAAGCTTGCTCCAGGAACAGCAACATCGCAGAAAGTCTTGTCCCCTCTCTCAGCAAAGTGGAGGAGGAGCAGCAGCCTGTTGAACACATTGAGATCAATAGACCTGGGCCCCAGTGCATTATGTGTGGGCAGCTGAACTTGATGTTTTGTGACTCTTGTTGCAGAAAAAAAAAGTGGTGAGCTGCTAAGTGAGAGAGTGTGGAAGAGTAACCACAGTGCTGAGGGGGGGTTGAAACCATGCTGGTGAGTGCAGAGAGTGTCTAGGAGGAGGAAAGCAAGACAGATGTGTGTGAGGAAAAGAAATAGGTGTACGATGGTAGATGATGTGGGGGTGGAAGAAATGACAACTCAGCATCAGGTTTGGGGAAGAAAGGTCAGGAGAAATCTGAGGGAAAACTTCTGGTAAACCCTACAATGATAATCTG